GGGGCCATGGAGGGATCACTGGGCAACCCCTACCGCAAGGTGAGGGTGCCCAGCTGGGTGGCCACCATCCCCCCCCTGCCTCCGAGCCACCCTTGCCAGCCCAGAGCTGGGTCTCCCCCGCTTGGAGCTGGCTCCTGACTCTCTCTTCTCCCGCAGGACCACGTCCGGAATCCCCAGTGAAGGAGAGGATGGAGGAGACTCCTGCCCACCGGCTGGACGAGGCTCTGTTGACCTGTGAGATGGATGGTAAGGGTGGGCACGAGCCTCGTGGTGTGACCCCCCTCCTAGTCCTTCCTCTGGCTCCTCACCTCTGCTGGGGTTTCCTGGCAGGCTCACGGCACTTCCCTGAGTCCAGGAACAACAACCACATCAAGAGGCCCATGAATGCCTTCATGGTGTGGGCCAAGGACGAGAGGAGGAAGATTTTACAGGCCTTCCCTGACATGCACAACTCCAGCATCAGCAAGATCTTGGGTGAGTGGCAGGGATGGGAGCCCCGGGCTGGGGCAGGACCCAAAAAATGAGATGACTGCCAACTTCCTCCCCTTGGAGGAGCTCTCGTCTGGGGCTGCTGCTCCGTGTTGAGCTGCTCCTTGTCGTGGTAGATGCCCATGGTTGGTGTGGTTCTGCTGGGGGAGCTGGAGCTGCTCAAGGGGTGCACATGGAACAGTGGATACCTGCAGATGGATGAGTGGTCTGGAGCTGGTGTGCATCGAGGTGGGGGGGTGGGTCAGTTCCTTGGTGCTCTCCTGCTCTGGGAAATGTGGGTCTGAGCCACTGCGAGGGGCTGAGAGCATGGGGAAGGAGCTGGTGGAGGACAGTGTGGGCTTGCATGGCTCTGTGCCTCAGTTTACCTGGGCTACCTGGCTTGGGGTGCAGGAGTGGGAGTGGAGCTGCCTTTGGGGGAGCTGGGTCATGCTACCCGGTGAAGGAGACCCAGGAGAGGGGCATGTGGGGACCTAGGAGAGGATTTAGGTGATGAGAGATTAACTCTGAAGGTCCCCAGCCCAAAGCCCTGCTCAGAGCCTGGCTAATTCCATAGCCCATCAGAATGCTCAGGGCTGTGCTCTCCTGGCTGTTGAGCATCTCCAAGGACGTTGAGTGTCTCCAAGCACCTCCAGCATGTCCTTCTCTCCCCCAAACTGGACACTGGTCCAGCTGCAGCCTCCCAGATGCTGAGCCAAGGGGATCGATCCCCTTTCTCCACTGCCTGGCCCCGAGCCCTTCTCCCAGCCCAGCAGCCTTTGTGCTGTGCCCTGCTTTGCCCTGGGTGCTGGCATGGAGGACAATAAACCTCAGCCAGTGTGGGCACGTGAGCTACACACCCTCCCAGCCTATTCTAGCTGCACCACCTGCTCCCATCCCTTGGAGAGGCCCAAAACCCACGGTCTGAGAGCTGCCTGGGGAAGGAGAAGGCTGGGGGAAGATCCCCAGCGTGCCAGGAGGGGGTGTCTGCCCCCTGCACCACGCGGCTGCCCCCAAACTCAGGGGCCAAGCTGAAACTCTCAGCTATAAACACCCCCCACGGCTCCTCCCCGCCCAGGCTCCCGCTGGAAGTCCATGACAAACCAGGAGAAGCAGCCTTACTACGAGGAGCAAGCCCGGCTGAGCAGGCAGCACCTGGAGAAGTACCCCGACTACAAGTACAAGCCGCGGCCCAAGCGGACCTGCATCGTGGAGGGCAAGAGGCTGCGCGTGGGCGAGTACAAGGCGCTGATGAGGAACCGCCGGCAGGACGCCAGGCAGGGCTACTTGCTAGGGTAACGTGCCCCCTTTCCCCCCACCCCAGAGGGTCCTCCCAGTGCCCACGGGCTGGCTGCCTCGCCAGGCAGCAGGTCAGAAGGTCAAGGGAGGGTCTTCTCCCCCTCTGCTCTGCCCCAGGGAGGTTGTAGCGTAGGAAGATGGAAAGTTCGGCTGGGAAAGGCTTCTAGGATTCAGTCCAAGCATCACTCAGCACTGCCATGACCATTAAACCATGTCCCCAAGTGCCAGGTCTATATGTTTTTTTGAACCACTCTACCCACCTCCCTGGCAGCCTTGCAACAACACCTCAGTCTTCTTTCAGTGAAGTTCTTCTGAACATCCAATCTAAACCTTCCCTGGTGCAACTGGAGCCCATCTCATCCCATCACCAGTAGCCTGGGGAGAAGAGCCCAATACCCACCTCACTCCAGCCTCCTTTCAGGGAGCTGTAGAGAGCAATAAATTCTCCCCTCAGCCTCCTCTTCTCCAGAAGTAGCACGTCTGGCCTCAAATTGGGCCAGGGGAGGTTGAGGTTGGAGCTGAGGAACAGTTTATTCCCCTCGAGGGTTGCCCAGGGCAGTGGTGGAGTCCCCACCCCTGGAGGGGTTTCCAAGCTGGAGGGACATGGGTTAGGGGTGCCCTGGCAGTGCTGGGGTAGTGGCTGGACTTGATGATCTGAAAGGTCTCCTCCAACCAGAATGATTTTATGACCTGGGGATGTCTAGGCAGGGGAAGACTGAGAGGGGATCTCAGGCTAGGAGGCAAGAGGCTGGGGCCAGACTCTTATCAGTGGTGCCCAGCGACAGGACAAGGGGCAACGGGCACCAACTGGAACCCAGGAGGTGCCACCTGAGCAGGAGGAGAAACTTCTTTGGTGTGAGGGTGCAGAGCCTGGAGCAGCTGCCCAGAGAGGCTGTGGAGTCTCCTGCTCTGGAGAGATCCCAAACCCCCCTGGCTGTGACCCTGGGCACCCTGCTGTGGGCGAGCTGCTGGAGCAGGGGGGGTGGCGAGACGATTTCCAGGATCTCCCTTCCAACCCCACCATGCCAAGCTCCATGGGGGAGCACCTCAAATTCCAGCTGATGACCCCATTCTCCTGTCCCCCAGGCCCCAGGGCAGCCAGCTGCCCGCTGCCTCCTCGGACGTGCTGTACCAGCGGCCGGTGGGCATGCAGCTGACCCCCCCGCTGATGGAGCACTACCTGCCCCGTGGCATGGATGCCAGCATGCCCGTCATCGTCAACACCCGCAGCCTGAAGGAGGGGGAGGAGGGGCAGGAGGGCGAGCTGTACCGCTACAGCGAGGAGGAGGACTCCGAGGGAGAGGACAAGAGCGACGGCGAGCTGGTGGTGCTGACGGACTGAGGAGGGGGAGGTGCCCTGAGGAGGGGGAGGTGCCCGGGGAGGTGCTGGGGGTGGGTGGTGGCAGAGCTGGCTGCCACCAAAAAAGCTCCACAGCGTCCCCCGATGGGATGAGGCTCG